ATAGTACCTACATTGGGCCCCAAAGTCTATAAATATGACCTACATTGGGCCCCAAAGTCTATAAATATGACCTACATTGGGCCCCAAAGTCTATAAATTTGACCTACATTGGGCTATTTGGAGCCTTAAGGTTAGCATACCTTTTCAATGCGTCATGTTTGGCACCACAGCCGGCAGGTGGTCGAAATTCAAAAGGGTCCAGCACGAATGGCGAAAACACAAAGACATAGCTGCAATGTCTTAATGTGGATCTTGTTAATACTGTAGTTCGCGGCAGAGAGTGCAACTATATCCTACTCTTGGGTAGTATTTTCAAGAAGGCTTTTGAATTTTGCCTGTTTCAACCACCAAAACACGCTACTCACACGAGATACCTTCAATATTGAGCTCATTCAAGAGCCCCTACTAGTGGACCTACGGTTCCCTCTGGTAGTTTAGTATAGTCCAAAACACTTCCCAATAAGGAACACATATCCAGTAAATACGCGGTAGTGCTGACTGTAGCTGTTTTGCGCAGATTCACACATATGTCTGGGCCTTCAGCCTGTCTTCGAAGATGCTGTCCGCAAAGGTGGAGACAGGAGCTGTGGCAGCTGAGGGTTCAAGGGTTCCGGGTTCAAGGGTTCCGGGTTCAAGGGTTCCGGGTTTTAGGGTTTAGGGTTTGGGGTCTAGGGCTTAGGGTCTAGGGTTTGGTGGTTTCCAGGCAGGTGGTTTTTGACCGGTGCCTGAAGCCTAGATACTATGTCCGGGCTTTGCAGAATAAGGGCACTTTTCAATATTTCCCGGGCGCTTGGGGCATTGTCTTACTGACTTTTGGGTCCGGGGTGCACCTTGCCCGCGCCCTAAATCCTAAACCCTAGACCCCAACACCTTAAATCCTGAACTCTTGACCACAAAACCCTAAATCCTAAACCCTAAACCACAGAACCCTAAATCCTAAACCCTAATCTCTCCCCAAACCCCCAAACCCCTGAGCCCTTAACCTCCTTGAGGAGCTGGAGCCCTGTCTTCCTGCAACCCATGAGTCCCTAACTAAACCACTTCGCCTGATGGGTTTAGGGTTTAGGGTTTAGGATTTAGGATGATTTAGGGTTTAGGGTTTAGGGTTTAGGCGGTTTAGGGTTTAGGGTTAATTAGTCACCCCCCAACCCCCTAAGAATAAGTACGCCCAATATGGTACCATGACACAAAGTGTTCATTATCAGGTTTATTGTTAAGGGGGGAAGGGGTCTGAGCCATAGTTAGCATTCGCAAATCCAGCTTGCTCCAGGAGGCAAGCAGGTTTAGCAGATCGCTATTCGAAAAGAGGGGATGCATGAAGCAGATTAGGGTTTATTCTTAGGCCTGTTGCCTCCTTGAAAGGTTTTGGTCCATAATTTTGCCCGCGTGGAGTTCAAGTAGAGCATGTATGTATGTACGCCCCGCTGTCCAACGCTACAGTGGCAAGATTTCCTCAACAAGAACCCAAACGCAAAGCAGGAAACTCTTAGACGCGCACAACCGCACGTCAATCCACAAAAAAGACAAGATTGACACCCTAAACGCGCTGAACTTTAACCCAGACCTAGCAAATACTCAGAAGAATTGCCCCAACCCCTACATGGGTCTATACGCGATTATGCGGGTATTTGGGAGGTCTAGAAAGACCTACTTGGAGGACCATGGGACTTAGCAACTACTTACAACTGGGATTATATCCCAACTTATAGTTGGGATAGCCTTATAAGTCCAGTTATCAGTAGTTACCTAGGTCCCATGGGCCTCCAAGTAGGAAGACCTGAAGCCCAACCAGGAGCTTCGTCTGCCAATGCTGTCGATGAGCAAGGAGAGGCAGACACAGGTGATCATGCGCCATCTGAATCTTTGGCCTCTTGCAGTACAGCTTTGGGGCTTACGGATTTAGGATTCAGGGTGGTAGCTACCACAAAGTACAAAGATAGCTAGAGACGCGAATACACAGGAAGAGTAAGAGGGAAAGGGAGGCAGGGACAGAGAGAGTTGCAGAAAGAGGGTTTAGGGTTCAGGGTTTAGGGGTGTAGGGTTTCGAGGTTAAGGGTTTCGGGTTCAGGGTTTAGGCGTTGGATCCTGTCCACTTTCATTTGCCTTGCAATCAGGCATCCTCAACACTTAGAAGAGGTCCGGGACCCTTTACACAGTTGGTTTTCCTTTGCGTACCCTGAACACCAAAAAAAGGGTTTACAGTAGGGTTTAGGGTTTAGAGTTTTGGGTTCAGTGTTTAGGGTTGGGGATTGACGCCTAGCTTTTTTCATAAGCAATAGGGTTGATTGAGCATCTCCGGAAGCCCCCCTTCAAGAAACCCCGCTACACCCAAAACTGAATGTCTTCATTCAGTCGCCGCTGGCAGTTACTCGAGGGATCCAAATAGCCGAATGTAGGTAGTGTTTACAGACTTTGGGGCCCAATGAGGTATAATTTGTAGACTAGGGTTCGTATAATTTTCACCCCAGTTTCCATTTCATTTCCATGTTGCTTTATTTGATTCTCCATCAAGGGGGGGAATACTATCCTTATATAAACCCCCTTTATAGACATGGAGCCCTAGGGGTAGCAAGTTTGGTTCGGTGGGCTCCTCCAGGGGTGCCATTATCAACGGGGGCAGCTGCACAGACAGGACGGTTTAAAGATATTGGGTTTAGGGTCTGGGTTGGGTTCAGGGTTTCGGGTTAGGGTCTTTCGAGCATGAAGGGTTGCACCAAATTTCGCGTAATGTGATAGGACCTTCAAGTGGCACCCAACCACTGCGCGCACAGCACCCCTTCTTGACTCGAGTTAAACATGGAATCAAAAGGTTTTGAACCAGCATGAACTGAAAAGATGCATTGGCTTGGAATCAATACTTGAAGATAAGAAGAGAACTAATAGTAGTAATAATACTGATACTAATACGAGTATTTGTAATAATAAAGATAATAGTAGTACTACTACTCATACTACCTTCAAGAAAGATCTCTAACACTACTCAGGGCTTCTGGAGGAGTACCTTTATAGGGCCCAGCAAATCTACATTGTCTGGAAGGTTCTCCACGGGGTTTTGGATTTTGGGTTTAGGCTCTCCACAGGGTACCTACCACACGAATGCAAGGTCCTGAACTGTGGCAGAAGTTGCCCTACAGCGAGCCTCAAACTTAAACAGGGTCCACATTCAGAACATGATGAATGTGAGCAATTGGGGGTCTTGGGATCCAGCTTTTTATGCCTGTGTACTTTCTAGAGCTGCATGCATAGGGTTTAGGGTCTAGGCAGAGTGCCATAGCAAGTAGAAGCCAGAGTTGCAACCATGGCAGCTCCAAACGAGTAAGCCGTGTTTAGGGTTTGGCCTTAGTTTGGGCTTAGGGTTTGGGAGGGCACCAGAGGCGAGTAGTGTGCTTTTGTTCTAAGACTTATCCAAGTGTGAAGGAGACGATTGACTTGGCACATCAGAAATCTTGTTTCAGTCAAGGGGCAGTGTCCCGCCAGAAAAATCAGAGCTGTGGGGGCTTTGTGCGCTGTTGGTATGTATGGGGCGTTTCTTGGTGAGCGTTTTTTCTTATGGCCACAGGAAGAGATGACTCAGTCATTCAGCCTCTTCCTGCAACCGAAACGTATCTCTTGTTCAATATCAAGACGAGGACCCCCCAAAGTATGTAGAATAATGGCCTGTTCGCTTGTTTTTAGGGGTGTTGGACCATTATTTTACCTACTTTTGGGGGGTTTAGGAAGTGGCTACAATCACTATGCGGGGATGGAGGTGGACTGCCCGGGAGGAGATTATAGAGCTTTTTCAAGCCGACATCACTTGACAGAGGGTTTTCCCTAGGCCCGAAGATGCTCCTAGTGATACCGGAATACCCCAGAGCCCTCAACAATAAACCCGCTCCCCTTGATAGGTAGTATCATAGGGATCCTAATATTAAGGCCCTTAAAAGGAGGGGATGTATTAACCACGGGTCTACATTATCAGGTGTAGTCCCTTGTATCCGTTCCCATTCAAATGATTCAGTATTAACCTACACGTTGCTTGTCTCTAAAATTCAGGGTACCCGGACAAGGACCATAGGTTTGAAAATCTACCATATGTACTATAGTCTAAACTCCTTAAAGGGGGGTTATTTAGGGGATTCTATAGGGAACTACTATAAGGGTTACTAAGGGGGATACTAGGAGTTTAGACTATGGCTCATATGACCTGACAACCTGTGGCCCAGGAGAGGACCTGCCAGTTCTCGGCTTCGAAGCTCACACTGCCGGCGCTGATAATATACACTGCCGCACGCATTGGTCTCAACCTTGCTATACTTACTATCCCAGGGCAATTTCGGGAGAAATTTGATGCTTCGGAAGCCGACTATTTCGTCAAGCCTTTAGTCGCCTTCGCAGGGGTCTGTGTTGTCCTCCGCCGGCAAGATAGCTCTTCGGCGATGCCACACCTCCATCGCTGGTGCCGCATCAATATCTCCTTCCTGACAGTCTTCATTTGGGACCCCTGGTTTGCAGAGTTGTTGTTAAGTTTGAAGTTGGAGGACGTGGTTGCTGGCCACATTGCTGTTGTTTGGCAGCTGGGGTCATGTGCAATGCAGCTTCATACCACGAATGTGAAATTGTTGAACCTGTCGTTGCCACGCCTCGCGGTGCTCTGCGAGATCACCTTGCTTAAGCTTCTCCTACCAGGTGTGATTCTCTTGATCGTGGGGATGTCAGCGCTGTCATTCGACGAGTCGCTTGTCCGCTGGGGTAGGTTCTGCCTACACGCGTTACTTGGTTTCGGACTGGCCGTAGTGCTGCTGCAGTCGACGGGCCTGGCCTATGTTGCTTTCAGGGCACATCGCCAACATGAATGGCATGAGATTCGCTCAACAGTTTCTTGTCTGTGGGCCAATGTCATCCTCGGTGCAGTGGGGCCTGCACTTACGGTCTATGTCGTCATGCTGTATTTTCCGCAGGGATATGGGGCCACCGCGGACATAAGTTTTCAAATCTGCAACTCGCTTCTTCTAAGTGGCATGGTTGGCTGGAAGGAGTGGGCTTCGCCCCTGGAATCCTTCCACCAACTGGCAGAAGCAGCTGGGATGGGCATGAGCTACAAACGAATCGCATTTCCAGGAGCCATCAATCCACATGCCCGGCTATGTGTGGCATCCTTCCCTGGCAAATACAGTGAGCTGTGGGACAGAGCAGTAGTCGTTGCATCTGGCACGGATGATGTATGTTCCCTAGCCTGTGTCTTCCTTACGGATCCTGCGTCAGGACTTGGACAGCATGCTCCTAACCCGGATAGTCCAGATGAGTGCTGGTGCAGAGCTCTCTATGGCCGAGTGCCTCCGATAGCATATCTCAGCATCGTAGATGCCACCGCCGAGTTAGATGAGGATGTGCTGGCATTCAAAAAGGCTGATGCAGCTGCAATGGGGCAGTACCTTCTGATTAAGACATCTCACGTCAGCACCTTGGAGTGGGAGACGCAGCTTGCAGATGCTCTGAAAAAGGCCCAGGTGCTGTGTCTACAAAACGGCGGCCGAGCTCCTTGGGGGTGTGAGTGGTTTCTGGGACCTGCGAAATTCCGATAATAATAGCCCATACAACGATTCCCCATACAACGATTGTTTTAGGGTTAAGGGCCGTTATAATTATGGGTATTTGGAGGTCCAGGTAGCGTGGTGCATGTTTGTGATGAACCCAATATAGTTTAGAAATCTTTTTTTCCAATAGTCCTCCAACAGCCACCTAGGTTTGAGAAATGGAGAAAGAACATCGACAGGGCGGTGGAACTTGACCAGCCGCTGCACGTTTTCTACTTCGAAGGCAGACCAGCTAGCAGTTTTTGGGTCCAGAGTTAAACCCTAAACCCAAAGGGATTTTCGGGGATGGCTTCTACCCTGGGAGTTCTCCCAATACCTTTTCTTGAGCCCCGAATAGGGGTCCCGGAATTTCATCCCCAAGCTCCTAAGGGACCCCCCTTGTCGTGTGAGCTCAAACATGTAAACCCTAAACATCTAAAACCTAAACCCCCAAACCCTAAACCTCCAATTAAACCCCTAAACCCTAAACCTCCAAACCTTAAGTCCCTAAACCTCCAAACCCTAAACCCCTAATCCCTGAACCCTAAACCGTATCCCTTTATACCCCTACATATACCTTCAAAGGCAGAGTTGGGCTGGGCAAGCTATCCTGGGATGAGCTTGGCAACCAAGAGGCGAAAGACTTGCTGGTTCTTCGTAGGGAATAACGGTATGTATTATATAGGGGTTTAGGGTTTAAGTAGGGATTATACTGCCATATTCCCTACTAAGAACGAGTAAGAAGAGGCGAAAGACAAAGCGCGAACAATATCTGGACTGGGAGCCTCGCAGACGGCAGAGGCGGGTCATGGGAAACCTTACCCTTTACCTAGACCCGTATATGAGTTATAATCTGAACTCCTTAGAGGAGGTTGTAAAGGGGAGTACTAATCGGGGTTAGTAAGGGGAACATTAGGAGTTTAGACTATAGCTCATATTGATATTATACTCTAGCCTGTTTTCTGGCACCCTACAAGGGTGTATACAGAAGATACTAGAAATACAGTTGCATGCCCCAAGGCAGGGTAGGGTATACGGATCTAGGCAGTAAGTGGTTGGTTGCAGGGCAGAAAAGGTGCATTGTAGCTCATACACTCTTACTGCCCATAATCACGCCTTGACAGTCCAAGGGTTTAGGGTCTAGAGTTTGTGTT